TGAGCTGCTGCTTCGTGTGGCTCTGTTGTTCTGCAGCTGGATACCACACTAACTACAGCTTTCTGCTCTGATAATGCCACCATGTGCCCTTCATCACTGTGGCAACGTCACCTAATCAAAGCTGCAGTACACGGATCATCCTATCACTGACGGCAGGTCTACTGCTTGAGCCTGTGTTGATCATAGAGATCTGAGCTGAGACCAGACTGCTATTTAATAGACTCACAAGACAAACCCCCAATCCCCCCCCCCCCCCACCAGTGCCTTAACAAAAACATTCCACTGAGATAGACCCATAGGTTGACTCATAAATTTAGACTGTGTTCCCATTAGAGCTGAAAGAAGACGGCTGTGCTTGTGAAAGGATGTAGTGGAGCACCAAGTGAGTTCACATTTAGGCATGTTTACCAGGGGAATTAGATGGCAGCTTTAATTCAAACATTTCCCTGCAGCAGCTCTTCAAAGTGCAAGGCGCTGATCCAGGATTTACCTTCAGATTATGGTGCAGATATGACTGTTTCTTGATTTTACAGGTTTAGAAAAATGGCTGACTAAACTTGATACTTATAATCTGGATTCATTCATTTAAAACTTAAAAGGTGTGTTTACCTGTCTCCCTTTGTCTGGGAGTCAGTGTGTAATAACCTGAGCAGAAACATTCTGTGGCTGTTTGTTAAAGTTGACCTCATGAGATCATTCCAGACCTGCTCTGTCTCAATCAGAGCAGTGTGTGTTCTGTGGGGTCCCAGGTACTTCCTCTATCTGAACCGGCTCCGCACAGAGAGGCTTGTTTTAAGGTGAGGGCCACACCTCTCAGGCTACAGAGCCGGCCTGTTGGGCCCCTAACACTCCCTCCAGAACTTTAGGGTTTAACAGGGGCAGAAAACACACACACACCACATTAGGATTTCCTGTTTCCTGGCCCCTCACCCACTACTCTATGCATTACATGAAGTTTGGGATCCCTGCTTTCATTTGACAAAAATAGTTGTGTATTTTTTTTTTTATGTTTTTGTTGTGGTTTCATTCTAGATTTTGTAATTTTGTTTGTTATCTTCCAGGCAATGATTCCCATAATTAGGAAACACATGTTTCTTTTTACAACAACAATAATGAAGCTGCTCAGAGCAGTGGGTCCCAATCCATGGGTCAGGACCCTCAAATAAAAATCTGAGGGGTCACAAGATCATTAAAAGAGAACATCAACGTCAGTGTTTCCCCTATATACAAATAGTCGCCACTTAATATTAAAATAATAATAAGTGGCGACCCTTTTTCATTTTTGATTGTTTGTTATGTGGATTTGTGTTACTGTATGTTCAATAAAAGGTGTATTTTTGCTAAATCTTGAGACATTGCCACTGTATCTACTGGCAGGGCCGATTTTTGGCATAGGGGCGCCAGATCTGGGGGGCAAAGCTCTGGGAGGGGAAAAAACATTTTTGACCGTTGGCACTCATCCTAATTTTTGGCCTTGATGTAACAACATTCATAATTAAGTAAATGTAACACCCTTTTCACCCCGGTTACACTTTTCATTTGCCCTGTACGATGGGCGCTGTAAGTGATGAAAGTGGGGGATGTTGGCTTATCAGGCGCCCGCAGCTCAGAGCCAAAGTGCGAGCGTGGGAGCGAGAGAGCGAGCGAGGGAGAGAGAGAGAGGGCGCACCGGTACCGGCGCTGTTGTTATTAGAATCTGGTGCTAGCTGCACTAACGGATATAAGAAGTAGATGTTTCTACAACCAGGGTGGAGGAGAGCTCTCCTGTCTGACTGAGAGGCTCAGTGAGGTAAAGGACTCTGAGGGTTTAGATAGTTAATTTTAGTCTAAGTTATCTCAGTAGGTCTCAAACGTTTTGACCACAAATTATGTAAACACATATTTCCAAGGCACTCCTTTATAATTATTAGGATAAATAAAAACAGGTTTGAAATCATTCCAATGTATACTATAGGACAGTAAACCAAAAATATTGTTTAAAGTTGGAGAGATACAAAAATATGCATAAATAAATAAATGTTAAGGTAAAATAAGATATAAATGAACAACAAAAATAAAATCAGTTACATTTATTTGTTATTGGCTATGGTAGGTTATTGGTTATGTTCACATACTTATTGATTAATAAAATGTAAACCGATCTTTTTCATATGGGTGTTTAGAGTTGTACCCCCTAGATCAGGTCTCTAGTAATTGTGTGCTCAAAGTAGTGTTGTCACGATACCAACATTTTGGTTTCGATACCGATACCAAGTCAAGAATTGCGATTCCGATTCTTTTTCGATACTTTTCTTTTATTATTTTCATGATCAATAAAATTGTAGTTTATCTGTTAAGTGTTTTCTTACAACATGGTCTCTTCTTTATACTTGAGTTTATGTGATTTCTTTGATAGTTAACTTTATATTTTATTAACATGTAATAGTACAGTAATATAAATAATTATTGACAAAATGTACATTGCAGATGTTAGCCACATTGGTAAGTTAGCTAAAAAGATAGCCATATTAGACAGTTATCATTGCCATTGCCTCGTCAAACTACGAAAACGTTCGTTTGTCACAAAATAAATGACACTTGTTTGACTTAGATTTGAGGGCATGGGCTTGAGCATGATGTAATTATGTTATCTATCACATTCGCTAACCTGTCTGTCTTTAAATTCTTTAAACAGCTCTGGATGCCGGTCGGCGAGGTGCTTAGCCAAGTTTGATGTGTTGGCTCCCTTGGTTTGCAGGGATCTAAAACATGTCTTACAGACAGGCCTCATGGTGTCCGTAGGCTTGCCCTCACTGTCAGAGATATAGCTCAAATACTTCCAAATTTCGCTTCTGCCGTCTTTTTTGTCAACAAGCCGAGGCGCAGCGGCAGTTGCACTCCCACTTGCAGCTTCTCGTTTTCTCACATGCAGCTAGCGCGTGCACGAGAGAGGGGAGGGACGGTAGGCACGGCTGCAGTGCAGGGAGTGGAAGCAGAGCGCTGAACACACACAGCTCTTATTAAAACAGCGCTTTCTCACCGGAGTACTTTTCCCTGTCATTCTTAAAGTACCGATACTAATGACACGGAGGAATCTTAACGTTTTTAACGGCAGGGTATCGCGGTACCTTTCAAGTATCGGTACTAGCACTACAACACTAGCTCAAAGTGCACCAGATTTAAGTATTTTACTTTAAAATGTTCAAAAAAATATTGTCAGTACTATCTCCGATTGCTTTAGTAGAAATAAAAACAGTTTCAGTGCACAGCATTTATCAGAGAACAAAAACATACAAAACGGAAATACACAAATGAGTAAATAAGAGAAAGAGTGTCTTTTTGCATTCATGTGCATTTGTTAGAGTGTATTGGTTTTCAACAAACAGCAAATAAACAAGCAATAATAAATCTGCTTTCCATGTAACTGTGTGTACGTGCATACGCCTGACTTGAGTAACCACAACACATGTGAGCTCATGCCAGTTTCAAGAGAGGAAATGAGAGGTTAGCCATGTGATCCGGGTGATCTGCGCTCCCACCCCCTCCCACGCTGACCTCACCCTCGAGGTTATGAGGGAAGTCAAACAGGCCGCTAACTGGTTACATACGACTCCAGAGTCTCCAGTATTATTCTTATCAGGATCAAGACACGGCTTCTCCACAGTAAGGGGTGCTCCATTCATCAGCTGCTCATTAATCATCAGCTAGCACAACGCACATACTAATGAAGCCCTCTATCAACACGATAACCTAAAGTCTGATAAGTCAAGTACACAACATGTGTTTCACCCATTTCATTAACAGGAATTGACTTTGAGTGAAAGTGTGAATGTGTGCGTGTCAATGATAAATCCAGGCACTTCCCCTAAAAGACAGCCAGACCCTGTCCTTGTCTCGGCAGCAGAGACTGTGTGGCTGCAGCTCAAGGACTGGAGGACACACACAATCACGCACGCTTTTTCATGCATACCTCAGATTCCAAATCTGACACGCGCACGTGCGTGCGTGCGTACGTGTGTACTCAGTTGGCTTGTAACATTACTTTTTTTCTCTTTCTCCTGAGGAGGTAGTTCACTGCATGTGTTCTAAAGTTGAATGCAGAAATCAAGAATGGAAACTTAATGCAACACAGAAAGGTCATTGGAGGAGGTGAATATATCCTCAAATGATAAGAAAAGGGAAGGTAAAATACAGACATGTACAGAAAGTAGACGAGAGTTGAGCTTTGTTCCAGTCACTTTGGAGAGTTTGAAGAGATATTCCAGTTAGTGGCTAGCTTTAACCATCATAGAAATGGACAAACATTTACATAGTTTCCTTTTTTGGAGTTTAATTTGTGTTGTGTATTACACAATACATCCAGGTAAAAAAACATCTTACTGATTGTTATTCTCTATATTTATTGGCATTGTATTTGATATTGAGGTAATCCCAAAGTAACGGAAAGTAATCAGTTAAATTACTTTTATACAGTGGTGTAAAGTTACTAAGAACATTTACTTAAGTAGTACTATACTTGAGGGACATTTGTTGCTACTGTGTACTTCTACTCCACTTTAGAGGATAAATGGTGTACTTTTACTACACTACATTTATTTAATACCTTTAGTTACTTTGCAGATTTTGACTAATAATGTGAAATGTGCAGGACTTTTACTTGTAACAGAGTATTCCTACACTCTGGTACTTTTACTCAAGTACAATATCCGAGTACTTCCCCTTACCTCTGCTTTTATAGTATGATACTTAGATGACCCCCCCCCCCCCCCCCCCCAGCTCTGCTGTGAGTCAGATATGACCCGGTGTTACCGTGCTGTCCACTCCTCGCGATATCTCGCATTAACTGACGCTACTACATGCGAGTAGAAGACAAACTAAAATGTATGTCGGTAAGTACAAACAGTAAAGAGAACCACACATCCTGCTCAGATTACAGTCTTTTCATTTTTCCTAGCTTCAGTAGAAACGTGTCAAACCGCCACCCCAGCCGAGCCAGAGCTCCAGAGCCCGCGCAGACTCACCTGAGATCAGCTCGCGCCTGCCCTCATCCAGGTGACTGGATATCACGTCCCCCATGCTGGAGGAAACTCAGAACCGCGGATGGACTCCTGGTCTGTGCAGTGTTTAAAGAAGGGAACCGAGCCGGAAAAACGGAGACTCCTGCAGAGGCTGAGCTGTCACCGGCTGTCCAACATCACCGGGCCTGCAGTAAGCGGGTCGGGAACGACTGAAGCAGACGGTGAGGGAGGACACAGTGAGCGGAGGAACACACTGACGGAGCTGTGGGAGAGGGACACACCCTCCTTTAAACCCCCCCCCCCTTCCCAGCGGCGCTGCGTTCAAGTCATGTGGGGGAATTTAACTCTCCCCTTCAATCTCTCAGGATAAAATCTGTTAGAACTATTAGGATTTTACCGCACTGTGAACGCTGAACGTTCAACCGTGTGTTCAAACCTTCACCACACTGCCAGGAGAAATACGTCTGTGGGAGCCTGGGAGGAGCCCTGAACAAGAGCCTGAAACAGAAGCACCTGAATGTGTCGAACATTCTGGACATAATCAGCCTGCGTATTTCAAACATATTGTAAAACGTAGGGGTTGGCACAAAACAGCGCTGAGAGGACAATGTGCAAAACGTTTGGGATGACATGTTTATTCCCCACCACTTGTAGTGATATGCTGTTCCTCTGCTGCCCTCTCATGGATTTAGCATTCGGTGCCATTTCAGCCATTTAAATATAAAAAATTAAGAAATCGTAATATTCCATGATTTTTTTAATGTAATTGTACTAATAATAATCAATTGTATTTATAAGCGTACTTATCATTCGAGTAAACAAAACTCAAAGTGCTACAGAATAAAAAGTGTGAAACAAAACAACAAAAACAATTAAAACAACAGAATAAAAGCAGTGGCATTAATGCCGGCATGGCAAAATGTGGGGGTTTTAAAAATCTAGTAAAAGGCTATTCTAAAAAGATGCGTTTTTAGGCCTTTTTTTAAAAGCATCCATAGTCTGTGGTGTCCTTAGCTAATAATGGCTTGTTAAAGTATAAGAACAATATTTTGGTTCAGCTCAGGAGATTAGGTCAAATGATTGCTGTTACTGTGAAAGACAGTAACAGGGGGACTATATTGCTACTTGAATGATGATGATCAAGCTATCCCTTGGTGACAACAGAAACACGTATTTGATAAATATATTAACCAGATATTTCCATATATATATGAGTTTCCACAAAAAATAACAGGGTGGACACGGTATGCTTTACCAAAACAGTCAAGCTCTTTACAAATAATTAAAAAACCTGTAAATTCAGAGGATCAATAAAGTACTTATCTACTATCTTTCTATCTAAATGAAGAGCGATTCTAACTCTGCTCTTCGAATAAGATTATCCTGCTCAAAATGAATTCTTCTTCCTGAGTCATACAAATAATAGAATATTAAAGGGGCATGGCCAGGGGATTTAAATCAGAGTAACGGGGGGACATTCAAACGTTGGACACACACTTTTGAATACACTTTAAACAATACAAATAAATAAAACAGAATTTGTTTTATTGCTTTTTTTATATCTGTTATGGAAGTTGAGCAAACATGACTTGGGACACGGCACTTTGGCCTATTTGTGCTAAAAGAGTCATTATTTAGAATTTTGAATATCCTGAGAATATAACATAGGGGATTACACAAATGTAAATGTTATCAACAGGCTTCAAGAAACAGAACAAACAGTAGAATAGTAGGCTACACTTAGCCGAGTATTTTTCCTATAATTGCCTGATTTCATGTCAATCATGTTTTCAGTATTTCTTCAAAAGTTGTATATTATAAAATTAGTACAACTATACAAATTATGTTTTTAAACTTAAGACTACAAGTACAAAATGATATTAGCTTGTGTTCACCTCGTCAGATTGGCACGTGTGGTTGTGTGTGTCTGTGTTGTAGCAGTTACATGATCTCAAACAGCCAGCTAAGCAACATCCCGGAATTGTGCTGAAGATCCTACATTTACATTACATGTTTTAGGTTATAAATAATATCACATCAATGGTGCATCAAATCAGCCTTCAAAGGACAACCGAAAAGAGGAAAATTGGAAAGTGTCAAAAAACTCTTAAATTCTTTATTTGTGGTTTGTGAAGCAACAGGCTGCTGAGATGTTTCCAGCTGTGAGCCTCTGCCCTCTGGTCAGCTGATGTGGACAGGGAGGGACTTCAGAGGATTCAACATCAGGTGCATCTTTATCATCGTCTTATATTAAGTGTATAGTTAGTCTTCAAATAAAGATTATTCCTAACACCTAGTGTTGCAGTTTCTCTGAAGCTCTTCTGTTTCCTGATTGTCATCCTGTAGCCTACTTGAAGCTCATGTTGTCTGTTTCTGTCTCGGGGCCTGGCTCTGGATGTCTGCTATACAGTATATGTGCCAACTTTTCAGAGGCGAAGGTCTGAACTTTTGCAGGATATTGTTTTTTAAAGTTATGTTGTGTTCGGGTCTCCCGTGACCCATTTCAAGTTAAAATTATATAATAACTACGCTCTAGTTTTCTTTAACGGAACTTAAAGGCTTCATGATATCCTCCACAACATCTATATAAACACAAAAAAACTGATTTTGACAATTTTAGCCAAGTCTGAAGGTCTCTAAAAAAAAGTGTAGCCTATAATTTGGTGCTCGGGTCTGGGAAGACCCAGCAGCATTGTTGTGGGTGACTCGGGGTCAAATTTGGCCCAATCAAGATTCATCTTTGACTTTAGACACCACACCCCTTCATCCACTGTAACAATAATTTAAAACTTTTTTTGGGGAGATTGTATTCTAATATTAGTCTATTATAGTCAGATAACATAATGATCCACTGTCTTCACTATAGGAAATATAATGAGTGAATTGAATCACATGTTTTACTTAAAGGGGACCTATCATGCAAAATGCACTTTTGTATGTCTTTTATACATGAATATGTGTCCCCGGTGTTCCAGGGAACTCACCAAGAGTCAGAAAACACAACCCTCTCTCTTTTCCTCCATACCCAAATATCTAAAAACGGGGCTGCAACGGATCTGATATAGACTGATACAGATTTGAACATTTCTCTGACGTCAGGACGGAGGAGCTCCGCCTATATGGCCAACTCTCCACCTATCAGGGGAATGAGAGGTTGCCGTGGCATGGTACCAGCATGGTAACATGACACTCGTAACTCGGCCCCCTCCTTTGCAGGGGGGCGTGGTCAGCTGCAGCGCATGCAAAGACAGGGGTGGAGGAGAGCAAAATAGAGCGAAATGAGGCATGGCTAAAATGCATGATCTGTTTGGTATTTTGAAAAAGAAAACGTATAAATATACCTTATATAGGTATGGCCCTACAATATATTATTCAAATATAGCATGATAGGTCCACTTTAAATATGTGGTGTAATGTTTTTTGGGGCCATAAAATAAAATTACAACAGCATTGTACGGTTATGAATGCATAATAAGTTAGTTATGATGTAGATAAAACAATATTGGATGATAGCCATTACTTTTGAGTGTTTTGGACTGAGATAAATCATGGGTCAAAATTGACCTGCGAACACCATAAACGGTAACAGCTTTAGGGACACGGTGTCGCCGCTGCATTCGAGGCTCCACTAGCATCCCCCCCCCGTCGACGCTCGCGAAACAGAGGGTGTTTCTCAATGTCGAGGACGCTTGCTTGGTAGCACATGTCTTCCGAGTCACTTGCTTCAGAAGCGAGGCAAGAATCCTTCCTAGCCTCGGAAAACGAAGAATTGTGGAATAGGCTAACACAGGGGTCTGCAACCTTTTGACCAAAAGAGCCATTTTGCCCCCTTTTCCACCAATATTTTTTGTCTGGAGCCGCAAAACTATTTGATAGCTTGATAGCTTATAAAGTTGTATATATTCTTACATCATAGACAAAAACTGCAGTTTTTTTGCATTTATTACATTATATAAAACTGTTAACCTCTAATAATAAACAAAGAACTCTTATAAGGAGAATTACAAAAAATACACAGGCCTCGCCTACTTTAAAATAAATCAACACAGCACTTGGGGAGTCCTCTGCACATTTGAAGAAAATGTATATAATTAAAATGGGCCCACTTTGAAATAAATAAAACATATAGCTGCACCCTAAAAAGAGTTAACTGATTGAATTATGACTGAAGATCGTCAGCTGTCTTCCTCTTCCGTGTTTTCCCTCCAATATGTAAAGGCTGCAGCACCTTTGACAACTTCTCTCTACATATCAAAGATACCGGTAAGCTAGCATCGTTTGCTGTGAAAGCATATAACTCTAACCATGCAGAATTAAATCCTATGTTCCTCCGATACTTTTCTTTTCTTTGATTTATCCAGTTCGCTCATCGAGCCGGGGGTCCGGTTATTCGCCTGCAAGAAAAGGCGCTGGTGCGGGACCGTAGCAGGATATGACGCATATTTTAGTTGACCTAATTAAAACCGTTTTTAAAATTTATTTTAATTTGTGTCACAGTATCACCTCAAAATACAAGATACGAAACATTTTCAACCGTGCAACAAAATATAAATAGTCCTACAAATATTTAAATTTTATTTCCTTCTTATTTTTGTCTAAACTCAAGGGAGCCAGAGCAGAGGGCTTAAAGAGCTGCGGGTTGCCGACCCCTGGGCTAACAGGTGTGCAGGTGTGCGTCATATGCGAGGCCCCGCATTAAATGGAGCGCGATTTCCGCCAAAGATTTGGAAATTGGTCCGTGCGCAAAGCATTGTGGGGATTTTAAGACACATGTGCAGCCTCGAAATTTTTCGCTACGAAGTACGCCGGCCTCGGTAGAATTCAGTATGCTGGACATTGGAACAGTCCTTCGGCGGCACTCAATGACGTAGTATGCTTGAAATAGTGGCTCTGGAGCATCCTTCCTCGACATTGAGGCTGGAGCCACACGAGGACGATAACGCAAATGGACCGAAATCGATTTCAAAAAAGTCTTCCGTCCACACGCAATAGGCACCAGAAACGTGTCCGTTCACACGAGACCGCTCGAAAGCGCTGGAGACGCTTTAGTACATATGCCGGGCCTGTAAGTGGCGCTGTACTTCGGCCACAAAAGCAGCGAAGAAGACTTCTTCTTCGCTGCAACCATGGCATGCCCTTCTGTTTATTCTCCGCTGTGGCTCTGGCTTTTTTTCTCCCTCCCCGAGACAAGCATGTGCTCCTTCTGTAAATCTCTCTGGTTAGTCCACCAGCAGATGAAAAACACCCACCTCTCCGCCTCTTCCAAGGAACGAGGGGACCGTGCGGCAGAGTTTCA